AGAATCATATAACGTAAGCATCAGCGTTTTCATAGAGCCAAACCATTTCAACTGCTACTCAACTGGCCTTAGATAAGCCAGCCCTTTATTACCGCTAGCTATTAAAGTCGCTTTGTTAGTAATTCTATCGCTCGAAGTGGAGTCGAAAGAGATGAGTTTTTCAGTCTGCGCCGGAAGATGTGCAAACTTTTCTTGCTGTCCTGATTCTCGAACTCCAAATACCTGTACTTTTTCTACTTCTTACATGTTGAACTCAAATGACTTGTACTTTTCTACTTCTGTACATTTTGAACCCAAATACCTGCTACTTTCTACTTCTTACATTTTGAACCCAAAGTACTTGTACTTTTCTACTTCTTACATGCTGACCCAACCAAAAAAATAACCCCTTGTACTTTCTACTTCTTACATGTTGAACCCAAATACCCACAACTTCCTACTTCTCTCATTTTTTCCAAACAGGCTGGTCCTTTTAGTCTGAATGTGTGTTGGTTGGCGTGATCATTATTATGTTAGGCATGTCCAATTGCGTGCCTATTGATCTGAACACGATCCGTGTTCCATCATTTCCTGGTCTTTCTCTATAAACAGAAGGGACCAATGAAAACGTTGCTCATGGTTGCCGTTGTTCAGCATGGCAAACATTCATTAGCTACTAACAATGACATTATTGTTCTAGTTAATGATAAAGCGGAGTTCAGTTTTACCTTTAAAAACAGCTGCTACGTTATGGGCGTACTTTTTACATTTCCTTACTGTTGACTGAGTAAAGAAAGTTTAGTCGTACTTTCATTTTACCTTAGTATTTCTTAACACGAGTTATCTGTCTTCTAACTTGCGTACAAGCGATGTGTGTACTTTTGCCCTCTCTGTGACAATATCAGTAAAGGAGTAGCAGGACAGTGGCTCAACAGGTTCATTCATTAACCCCTAATATTTACATTCAGCTGTGGTTAACTGTAGTCCGAGACATTTTAACATCTGCAGACGTGCTGTGAAGTGCGATGTATTGCTGTTCTGTTTTTCATCATGGCTCCTGTGATGAGCACCTGACATCGGAGCATCTGGCTGCACAATTCATTCCCACGAATTCCCAGGAAGATTGGAAATTATTTTTCCTCCCCCCCAATGAGCACTGCAGCACAGCGCTCCTCTAATTCAGTTGTCTCCAGGGGAAGCATGGTGCTGGAAACACAACAAATGACCGACAATTTAGTCAAAATAAATAGATTTTTAAGTTTATAAGAAATTCCTTTGCTTTGGTGTCAGTCTACATTACCCTGGATTTGTTTGGGCCTTTATTAGAATCGATTTGGTTCTTTAGTGTTACACTCCACTCACTTCTGGGACAGGATAACCACACTGCTGGCCACTCTGCAGTCTCAGCAATTAGAGGTGGAAAGTGTTAATTGGGTTGAGATCAAAAGCCGCTCGAAGGCACCGTCAATTGAAGGAGAGTGTTACTGCTGGTATATCGCAGCCGTTATTCCTGCTTTGCTATGTACCTGCAGCCTTTCAAACTCCTCCTTTTTGTTACTTCAAAGCTAAAAACAACTTCATTGACTATAGCCCATTCTGTTACTAAGACTCTGAAACAAGTCATTCAGTCAATTAAACCACCTGTCCTCAGACTCTTGCATTAACAGGGAAAAACTCCCAGAATCAACGGGGAAATGATGGAAGAAACCTTAGAGATAGCAACAACATTACATGACATGTTAGACACTTTTATCCAGAGTGACTTACACACTCAATACTGTGGGCAATCCCCACAGGAGCAATTTGGGGTGAAGTGTCATGGGACACAACGACATGCTGACTGCAGTGGGGTTTGAACCTGTGACCCCCTGATCCGAACACCAACCCACTGCACCACACGCCTCCAACAACCCTAACATCCTGCACTTCTTCAGTCTTTTTATATGTTTCGTTAATTGGATGTTGTTTGTTTGATTATTTAAGTTGAACATTTGAATTTTCATATTTGCGACCATTTTCTTTCTTTGTTTTGTCCTAACTGATCATCTACACTTAACATTTTGGCTTTTCATATACAGTCACATATCAAAATAAATGTTTATTTATGTGGATCAAAGATTCATTTCAACATTGCTGTCACTTTGGGGCAAATTCACTCCTGATTGTGCCAAATGCCTCAGATACAGGCTTATGAAATACTCTAAATACATAGGATGGTGAATTAGAGGCAAAAAGATAAATATGCTATGCCACCTTTTTATAAATACCTTCTGCACTGAACCTAGCCAAGATAACATGTTTCTAAAATCAGTCTGGTACCATAAGAGAAGTTTATCATTGTGTAATTTGGAAACATGGGTTCTGGGTTTTTGATGTGTTGCAGGGTGGAAAAGAATGGCAAGCGTTTAACAGATAACTGTTAAATATTCACAAAATCATTCTTCCGGAGTTTGCCCAGCCGCTAATCAAAAAGCGTGGTGGGCATCTTGATTAATTGATGCATAGCTAATGACTCGGTGATTAATCGCCTGGCACTGGCCTCGCATAAATGTGCTTGATCGGAAGATGAGAAAGGGGGGGGGTTGAAAACAAAGACCCTGCAATGTTCTGCGACGCGTTCAAGGCCAAGGAACATTGTCGTGCCGTCGCTCGTATAAAAGCCATCTAATTAGAGAAGAAAAGCCCAATGCTGGGTGTGTTAATAAGCGATGGGTGTTAATTAGGTCTGTCCAGGCATATGGAGATTTGCTCTCTGGATTAGCATGGCTGTGAATGACGACAAAGAGGGGGGGGATTGTTAGTTTAGTCCACTGGATTTCATTGGCTACAAGGTTGCTATGATGGAAGTGTGTTTGATCTCTGGTCGGTGTTTGGATGAATGGTCTTTTGGGATTTGTAAAGGTCTCAGTTTTGTTTCTGGTGACAGTAGGGGGCATTTCACCTTCCTTTCAACAAGTGGCAGCCAAGAGAAGAAAATACACTAATTACTGACAACCTGTTAGCACTAATATCCAATGAGTGTCATTACTTCTACTCATCAGTACGGAAAAGCAAGCATTAATTACTAAGTAACTTTCTATGCCAGGTAAAATGCACATTATCCCGCACTGCCAGAGCCCATACTGTTACTTCCTGTCCGTCTTCTTCTGCTGTTCCCTTTAGTGTTTACTTCCTGTCTGTCTTCTTCTGCTGTTCCTGTTAGTGTTTACTTCCTGTCTGTCTTCTTCTGCTGTTCCCATTAGTGTCTACTTCCTGTCTGTCTTCTTCTGCTGTTCCCATTAGTGTTTAACTCCTGTCTGTCTTCTTCTGCTGTTCCCATTGGTGTACTTCCTGTCTGTCTTCTTCTGCTGTTCTTAGTGTTTACTTCCTGTCTTTTAACCTCTTTCCTTCTCTTGCGCTTTTTTATTTTTTCATTAGCTATCATGTATACAACGTGTCTTGCTCTTCACAAATAAAAATAAAAATATTCAAAAACATAATTCCAGGGTGTTTTCTGACGGAAGATACAACTGTTTTTGGGTCCCAGGTGATGTTAAATTGACTGGACTTCTTTCACGCGGATTGATATGACTGCCCATTATCCCCTCGGTCCTCCTTAGCAACGGTCTGTTCTCCTTAGCAACGGTCTGCTAGCTGAAAATTAACAGACCTCTGGAATGTCCAAATTGACCAATCAGAGTCGAGTATTCAACTAAGCCTTGTAAAAAGAGCTGAAAGATAATAATAATAATAATAATAATAATAATAATAATGCATTTTATTTATATAGCGCTTTTCACAACTCAAAGACGCTTGAATTATTATTATTATTATTATTATTATTATCTTTCAGCTCTTTTTACAAGGNTTAGTTATGCCAGAATGTATGACATTTTTGTTTTTTTAATTGCATTACAGAAAATAAAGAACTTTATCACAATATTCTAATTTTCTGAGACAGTCCTGTATGAACCTGTAAGATGAAGAGAAATTACATTGAAGGGACAGACAAAAAGCCTAATAATTTAATATAAGTATCTATATGTCAACCAGAACTTACAAGAACTATACAAACAGTAACATGAGCCATAATAATTCATTATCAATTTAGTATATTGATAAACTCCAATTATTCTTTCTTTATACTCTGCAACTGGAAGAAGTATTATCTATGTACTGGCAGTTTAATACATTTGAGCTGAAAAACACATTATCATTTTATACAGCAGTAACAGGAATGACACTAATATCATCATAAACCTAACACTTGGATCAATTGTGAATTACTGGCGTTGTGGAGATCCAAGATGCCTTCTCTCCTTTATCGACAGGTTTATTTTTGGTGCCACATAATTTCCTACAAGAAACAAGCATGTGATTATTAATGCATTCTGTTCAGTCTTACACATGTTTAATTGACAGTATACAGTACTTGTGACTTACACAGCCAATGGGACATTCTTGACATGATCACATATTGGCCTGTACCCCGAAATGTGTGATTTCAGGCTTTGAATCTTTGCTCCCGGGCATCAGACTCTGATTTTAAATTTGCTAAGTGACAAAAAAGAAGGACAAATTCAATCCTTAACAGTAATTCTTGTATTTCACCACATGATGGCAATAGCAGCTGACCAAATATCATGAGTTGTGTTATACCTGCAATCTCTGCGTGTTTCTGCTTGATGCTCGCAAGCTCATCAGCTTTTGTTTTCTACAATAGTGTGGGAGAAAGTCAGTAAACACTCAATACTTGTGGGTTTGTAAACCCTACAATAACATCAAAGCTGTACGTCGTGTAGGCGGCAGGTGGAAAACAGGCAGGTATGGAAGAATACTCAGATAAAAAAGGTTTCAGCGCAACACTGGAAAAAAACCTCAATAACAAGTACAAGTCCTGTTTTTAAAATCCTACCTAAAAATTAAAGTATTACGGTTCATGTGAGTGATATATTATTCCATATTCCATTGATAGATGGTAATGCATGTTACAATCTGAGGTGCAGCTATGTTTACAAGGTCACAAGAGAAAGGGTTGGGAAATGATGAATAGGGAATTTCATTTGTTTTTAAAAGCTTTTTTCTGTGAAATATTGGATTATTTCGCCTGAGTTATTTGAAGAAAGCATAGGCCATAAGAAAACACACTTTATTTATATAGCACCTTTCATGCAAGATGCAGCCCAAAGTGCTTTACAGAGTAAGACAAGATACAAAATGAAGAGTGAGGAACATAATTACAAACAAGTTATAAACAAACAGAGTGTTCACTAAGCACTTGGTGTATAATAATTGCTTTTTCAAATGTGTTCTAAAGGCTACATGGTTCACTTTTTCATATAATAAATGAAGCTGCTGACGCAAACACCAAAAACACAACAACAACAACAACAACTATTCACCTTTTCAGCTCGACAGGCGTCAAGTTCTTGTTTCTGCTTATCCACATCTGGAACAAGTTGAGCCTCAAGATCCTTTGTCTCTTCTTGTTCTACATTTGAAAGTTGTTTATTAAGTTTCTTGAATGTCTTTGTAAACGTTTCATTCTTATTGTTCATCGTGATTATCAGTTGTTGTTGGACCTGGATTAACACTGACAGTGCCATGGACAACAGGATGCAAAAAAACATTAAAATTCAGATCTTCATTGATGCAGTTTGGTCTGTGTGATGCAGAAAAAGTGAAAACAAAGAGAGTGATAAACAGGTGTGCCGAACCAGGTACACTCTATATCAGGGGTAACCAACAGGTCGATCGCGATCGATTGGTCGATCTTCAAAGCCTTCACTGTCGATCCCTAGCATTTAAAAAAATATATATATTTTCGAAAAAAAATATTTTCGAAAAAAAAAGAAAATGTTCATGCTCTGGTTGGTTGGTTGTTTAAACAATCTTTTTAGACCTAGCTCTGGTTTGTTGATTTGAATCACGCACAGGTAATTTTACAAACTCCAATTGGTTATTAGAAATGTTGACGTACCTATGAATTGCTCCATGCAATTGTGGGTGGGGTTAACAATCGTATCTTAACGGTCATCTTGAGGAGTAACTTAAACTGTACCAGCTCTGCTAATATTTAACCAACATCGATATGGCTGAGGGTCCGGCGAAAAAGAAATCAAAAACGTATTATTTCCACCCGGAATGGGAGCATGAATTTCTTTTCACATCAGCGAAAGAGAAGACTATATGCCTCATATGCCAACAGGCGGTAGCCTTGGCGAAACGGGGCAACCTGGAGCGCCATCATGCGAGCACCCATGGTAAATTCAAATACTCATATCCACTCAACAGCGCATTAAGAACCAAAATAATTGATGAACTGAAAAGAGGACTAAAAGCACAGCAGTCGCTTTNAGTTTATCAATATACTAAATTGATAATGAATTATTATGGCTCATGTTACTGTTTGTATAGTTCTTCTAAGTTCTGGTTGACATATAGATACTTATATTAAATTATTAGGCTTTTTGTCTGTCCCTTCAATGTAATTTCTCTTCATCTTACAGGTTCATATATTGCCGTGTCTATGATAGGACAAAGCATTAAGCTCTGTTGGAATTCAGCATTTTTCATCTAAATGAAGCATCCATCACAAAAACATTGAGGTTAACATATATATAGACATGCAAACATCAAGGTATGATATTTTTGACCATGCTTTGAAATAACACATCAGGGGAATATAGCGTCTTTACATGTCCCAAATTTGTTCAATGCGCAGGTACGTCATTACTGAGCTTTAGTTACAGTTGAAAAGATCCAGGCTATGTTTAATGTGAACCGGCTTTAGGCCCTATAAGTGGAATGTAAATTGGATAGGAATCATACTGTCCCTACCCATCTTGATTTCAATCATCCTATATTTGTAATGTTATGTCATCACATAATTAGCCCTACTGAACATTTTTTAAGAACTACTTACTCATCAATTTTGACTTGATTTACAAAATGCTGCACTTGAAGCTCCTGAAGTGATTGTGACTGACAGTAATTGGGCCTGCAGCTTCTCAACTGTTCTTGTTAGGAGGTACAGGTGTAAATGTGATATACCTGAGGATACCAGCCACTTAAGAGCTTGTATGGACCAACAAAGGTGAAATGTGATCTAACACAGGGGGTCTGAAGGGAAAATTGACCTGTTCACAGACAGGATGCTGTGGGCTGCTCCGTGCATGTTTACAAGTGTGTATTTACTATTAAGTATCCGGTGAACATAACAATTACCCCAAACACTGAAAGCAATCTGCAGAAAGGTTGTGCAAATGTAATGTAATTTTGAGATGCTAATCTCCTTTGAATATTGCAAAAGAGATGAGTTTTCCTGTTATGTGTAGAACATTTTAACACAATCATTTGTCAAATTTCAATCATTTGAAATAATAGATACGTAAGTTACGGGTCTTTTCTGTGCCCTCATCCTGTGAAATACTGCCAACTGCAAATAAAAAAGTTGTGTTACCCCACAAAAATCAAGAGGGCCCTGCGAACCTTTGGAGATCATAATTGGGTTCACGACACAAAGGTGCATGAAGTCTCAAATAAACTTTTCAATTAAGTCTTTTAAATGTGCAGTTCTATGTGCAGTCAATCATTTGTAGCTTAAATGTAAACATAGACAATTTTTTTACATAATCTGCTTGGTGTCTGAGCCTTATTCTCAAGCTTCAGATTTATGAGGGTTCCCCATTTCACATTATCTCCATCAAATCCAAATAAATAGGTACATTTTAAATGTGACACTTTAAAGTAGTTATTTTAGTTTGTACAGTAGTCAGTCATACAGTGTCTTTAACATGGGTCTAAAAAATAGAATACGGACTTTTAACACTAAGGTAGTATTTTTTAATAGCACATCATTTAAAAGTGTACGCTTTCAAGATGGTTGTTGGAAAAAATCTTTGGAAAAACTATGAATAACAGTCAGTGTATCAGAGGAATAGCTAGCCTGACAATACACTTCTCGCATGCACAGCACAGTGGTTTTCAAAGAGGAACCGTGTTTCCGGTAATGATAGCGCTGCGCAACCGGACCTGCAGCTGCATCACCACCCGGGACTCTTCCCGAGGAGGGAGGGCTCTTCTACCGGAGGGGGGAGGAGGAGTGAGGTGAGTGGACGCGGTTATACCAACAAGCCGATTATTGAGGCTACTGAGCCCTGTCTGTCAATTTGCGTCCGTCCTCTGATGGTCATACAAAGGGAGACGAAATACATCTGCGGACCAAGTTTTCATTCTCTACGTGGAGGAGGCCCTATCCAGGACAGGAAAGTACTTTTTTTACGCTGTAACTTTTTATGGATATATTATGTGAAACTCGGGATGGGAAAGTCACTGTTTCTGTTATACATGATTTTGAGACAAAATAGTTGTGGTAGTAACTCTACAGAGTTCTGAAAGTGACATCCCTTTACTTAATTGTGTTTTTTTTAGGTTCATTTGGTGACACTGCTTTTGTTTTGTTTTTTCAACTAGTTGCACGGAATTTCATTTTTTACAATCTGCTTGAAAGTGTTTTAAGGATAGCTATTTTCATAATGAAGAAGTGAAAAAAATCTGATAAATGAGCGGCCGCAGTTACATTTAACAGAAAGTTAAAATCAGGACAAGCCAAATCAACAGCAGAGCAAGCTTAGCCTTTTTAAAAGTTCAGTGGAGGGTTAATGAAAATGACAAGCCTCTCCAGGAGTACAGATGACCAAAGAAACATTGGTGAGAGTCCATCTCACATACCTGAGAACCCCAGGTACCGCAGCTGGGGCAGCATCCGCTTCTCGAGATGGAGAAGTGGCTCCCAGAGGGCGAGCCCTCCTGGTACCCCCTCCTCGAAGTCAGAGAAGAAGGCGGATGTGACCAAGACGCTCTTCTCCTTGGTTCAGACTCACAATGACGACTACACAGCAGATCCAGAAGGCCTGCTGGAAACCAAGGAGGAGGGCAGGGAGGGCGAGGAGGGCGAGGAGGGCAAAGAAGGCGAGGATGTTGGGCCCGCAGAAGACGAGTCCAACTATTTCCAGAAGCAGTTTGGGTCAATGCTGCAGCCCGGGGTCAACAAGTTCTCCCTGCGCATGTTCGGCAGCCACAAGGGTGTTGCAGCTGAGCAGGCAAGGGTCAGGAGCTTCGGAGTGTGGATCATCCATCCCTACAGTGACTTCAGGTAAACATGAGGTTTTCTTCACAGTCACTCCCTAATTTCAATGCTGTGTGTGGGAAAGTTTGTCTACATAAGTTTTTCATTAAAGTGGAAACAGACAGCTTTTCAACTTCCCGCTCCTCAGTGTTTCCAAGTAATATTATATCATTGTTTATGACACAAAACAACTTGCGTTTTGCTCAGAGCGTGGCCACTAGTGACAATAAAGACAGGACACACTGCATTTGGATACTCTTTGGTAACTTGGTATATCTACTGATACATGGAACCGACAATAACTATACTCTTCTTGTTTTTGTTGTGCAATGATTGACACATTTCTTACGTGCTGTCAATCGACCCTTCAATTTCCCTTGAGAAATTGTAAATAGATTTGCATGGTGAAAGTGAGGATTATAGTAAAACAAGCCAAACGCAGGTGGTATTTTTATTCAATCAAGATAACATCATAATAATGAGTTAAAATCTAAAATAGATATTGCCACTTACAAATTGACAGAAACTCAATTTTATGCACTTGTCAGTAGACAGGATTCTCCAATTTGTCATATATTTTTTACATATTTCCCTTGTTTCATCTGAAAAGCCAGCGATTGTGTTTAGATCTAATTTTTCCAAGGGCAGCCCGCAGCTGACGGTCCATAGTACATGATAAGGCGATGAAGGGATTTGATTAGCGATACAGTATATGGGGCAAGATCATCTGGATTAATGGTGCCACTGGTAACTCCCTTTCTCCCTGTTTACCAAGCAGGAGGGAGAACTAAATTCATTGATCCAGTCAATCCAAGTGATATTTTGGGTTTCATTTGAAAAGCATCCAATCGAGGCCGTATTCCGGCCTCACTTCTCAAGGATTTATCAGATAATATTTTGGGAAAGTGTCATTATAGAAGCCATGCTCCAAGCAATCTGTGTGTGGGGGCAATTATAATAGTCACTGTCAAATTTAAACAACATTTTAAAACATCAGGCCTGTGCCAGACAGAGAGGATAAACCCGTGCAGAGGGATTATTGCCCATAAGAATCCCTATAATTCCAATCTTGCTCTATTATGCAATAATACACAGACAGCTGAAGGGGGGATTACCAAAGGCCTGCTCTCCTTAAACCTTATGTTTCAATTTACACTTTCAAATGAATGAGTTCTCATAGCACATTTTGGTGCTCAGCTATAGAATGAGACAAGAAAGGGGGCCAACCAAGGTCAATCACTGAAATACAAAGGAGGGTGTTAGGATTGCATTATATGGAACTAGCTTTCATCCCTAGGCCTCTCGTCAGATCTTTTATTCTTCCTAAACAGATTCAATCCTGGATTTAGATTCAACATAAAATGCTGTAAAACCACACTCCTATTTTCTGCTCTACTCCTGCTGTTATTAATAGCTGAAAAGTCTAAAAGGTTTTAATTCAGCAGAATTAACTCCGCTTCTCACTCATACTTAAGCAAACACTAATCTGCTGCAACATGAGAGGACGTGATAAGTAGTCATGTAAACCAGCGTGTAGACACTGAGGACACGGACGCGAGAAATTGATGAAGGGATAAACGTGAATGAGAACGAGGAAATCACCTATAAGTTCCTGTTTCTCTACTTTGACTGGCTCAAGAAGATGTTCTTTTTTTTTTACAGGGTACATATTACCAATACCTAAAAGTATAAAGGCCTAAAAGATGTGGAGCTTTTATATTTTATTTGCCCAATACTATGGATAAGAATAAAGTTGAAATACAAAAATAATTAAGTTAAACTGTCTTATTATATTCAAATAGTAGTCCTAGTTTTGTGTGCTTTGGTTTATTCTCAGACTCGACTTAAATCTAGAAATGTCAATTTATTCTCAACATGAAAAATGAACACATAAATTAAGAAAATCGGTCTCCTCTGATTCACTCATTCTTACAGTGAGTCATTTTTCCCCCTTATCTTTGGCCCTTAAAGTCTTCCGTAGATCAAAAATACACTGTTTCATATTCTGTTACAGTGCCTCTGTAATGAAAGAACAAAGTGATTGACACTTGATGGAAACACTCTGTAAGGAAACCTACACCGTGTACTGTTTGTGTTTAACAAGACACTGGACACTAAAAGGAAAATGTGGCTTGTATGACATGTAGCAGACAGTGATGAGTGCAGCAATGTGCAGCGAAGACATCTGGGCTTCCAAATCCTGAAAGCAGTAGACTGTGACGGACATTTCCAGTAGCAGTGACGTTCTCTTCATTGTCCTCATGTTGAGCTCGATGAGATAAACACCATTCATTTTTGATGAGCTGGGGTTCCTCCTGCAGCAGGAGCTTCTGATGAGACTTAGGGTAACTCTGAAGTGGGTCATTCCCTCGATACATAGCAATCCTCCTGATTGGGCTCTAGGTGACATGATAGCCATTTTAAGTTCTTTAACTTCAGGGAAAAGCTTCAATAGAACTGGAATGACGGGAAAACAGCAAATACATTTTTGCTAAGTAGCACCAACTAACACTGAAGCTCAGCGTTTAAATATTGTATATTTGATTGCAACAGCAACATGTTATTCTATTTGATATGAACACTACAGTAGCATTGGAATATGCATCTTCACAGGGACCATATACACTGTGTTTAGACATTGTAGTAGTTAAGAATACCTGTCCACTGGTAAAAATAGTAGAAACTAGAAAACAAAAGCCAAAATGGAAAACCTAATTATATGTCCATGAGAACATACCCAAATGTACATCCACATAGTAGATGTAAGACCTATAAAAAAACCTTCATTGTGCATTTTCAGTGAGTTGTTAGACAGTTCAATAGTTCTGCTATGTGTGACTCTACTGGTGTGCTGGTGTTTTGTAACAAATTCATTAAGCAGAGCAGGATCATGACCATCTAGGCCTTAAAAAATAACGTGTGATTTAGGGAGTTAGGGCTACTGGGCAACTAGCCAAACTAATCTTAAATCTCTCTAGCTGACAGTGTACTTATCCGCTTCTCTAACTCTTTTTAAGAAAGTAAGCATATTTCCAAAAAATTATACATTTCTTTAGATTGAAATCCTGAAACTTTTAGAGTCAGATATTATTTTTTAACCGTTTTTTTTAAACGGAAAATATCTCTCGGAGCAAATGCTCACACCCTGCTAACATTCACTTCTGAAATGCATGTGTTTGAACACACTTTAGTAACTGGTGTGTCTTTATCTAGTGAATTTATGGTTTGATATAAAGACACACGTCAAGAGCTGCAGTAAAACAAACATAGTCTGCGTGATCAACAGACTCCACAACAATTAATTCACTCATTATGTGAACAGATTTCACCATAAGCCTCATGCTGCCTGCAGGGTGAAAGGCCTTTACCCTCAGCGAAGGTCCCTGCCCAAAAGCATGAACCTAACATTATTACTGGGATTCATTCATTTGAAACACAAATGAGCCAGTAAGATTTGGTCCTGTGTCAACAGGGCTTTCAGCAAGTTTTTAGTTTGTTAGACTTTGTATATATTGTACATTATGTAATAACTATTTATGTTAACCTGCAATAGAGAAACATTGATTTTTATATTGTTTGTTTTATAAATGTGTGATATATTTTTTTAGCATTATCCTTTTAAGAACAACATCATCTGTGTTCTTATGAGTGTATGTCTTCGTATATATCCAAAATCTATTTACAGCCATACACATGCTCTCATCCTCATTTATATACAGTAGAAACTGCAGTCTTGTTATGAGTAGAATTTCTTAGTAACTACATTGAGTGTGAACTTGATTCATTATTGTCATACTGATATTCTGTACAAACTGTGAAGTCCACTGAGACAAATGTAACATTTGTGATATTGGGTTATATAAATAAACATTGATTGATTGATTGATTGATTGATTGATTGATTGATTGATTGTATTAATTGCTTAAATAAGGAGAACAAAACTGAACTTGTAATGTCCTTTGTAAACACAACAATTGTTATGGAGCGGTGTTAATATTTAAATGTACAGTGGACCACTTTTCAAAGAATGTATCGGTGAGCACTGGAACGTTTTTGGTGTAACATGCAGTCCAGTTGGCGACTCATGCTGACAGATGATTATGGACACTGGATCTACTCACAGTTTTACATCTGCACAACCTCAACGTTTCACCACTCCTGTACTGTGCAGGTTTTACTGGGACCTCGTGATGCTGCTGTTGATGATGAGCAATCTGGTCATCTTGCCGTGGGGAATCACCTTCTTTGAAGACCAGAACACCATGCCCTGGATCACCTTCAATGTCCTGTCTGACACTCTCTTCCTCATGGACCTGGTTTTCAATTTCCGTACGGGCATCCCGGTAGAGGACAGTCACATCACCCTGGACCCCAAAGAGATCCGCATTCATTACCTGCGCACCTGGTTCATGGTGGACTTCATCTCCTCCATCCCTGTTGACTACATATTCCTTGTTGTTGACCTGGAGTCCCTGCAGGAGTCGTCTGATGTGTACCGCACCGCCCGCGCCCTCCGCATTGTGCGCTTCACCAAGATCCTCAGTCTGCTGCGTCTCCTCAGACTGTCTCGCCTCATCCGCTACATTCACCAGTGGGAGGAGGTAAAGGAAGGATGTCAGACACACCACACAATGACATAAATAACCGTACATGTTATTAATTAACAGTTTTTCTCTTCACCAATTTTTCCCTCTCAGATTTTCCACATGACTTATGACCTGGCCAGTGCTGCGGTGCGAATAGTCAACTTGATAGGCATGATGCTGCTGTTGTGCCACTGGGATGGCTGCCTGACCTTCATGGTGCCGATGCTGCAAGACTTCCCCCCAGACTGCTGGGTATCCAAGAATGACATGGTGGTGAGTACATCCTCATTTAAACATACTCACATGCATACTTTATGATATCTTTAAACCTGGAAAGCTATTTTCAAAGATTTTCCTAATTTTGGGGAAATAACAGTTTCATTTACATCCAATAAAGACTTTTTCTTTATACTGTTTGACAAACAAACTGAATTTTGGGGGTTGAACCAGGGAATCTTTCTTTACATGGCATGCATACCCATTTAAGGCTCACCTTAAATTCCTTTATTCTCCTTTTGACATGGTCAGACCTAGCTCTTTTGTCTGGTGCTAAGCTACTGGTTGTTGCACAGTGCATTTCACGCACAGTGGGTAACTCTCGGCAGGAAAGTGAATGAACAAATGCATCAACTGTGTTTAATATCCATATATTTAACACAAAATAACATTATTCCAAGGAAAGGTTATCTGTAAAATGCTCTTACTTAAGCTGCATACTTTGGCCTCTCGTTACCTATTTTAATTATGGTTTTAGCCAAATAAATGTTCTCGTAAAAATATGACTGTACTTCTTTCCTCTTGTTTTCTTTTGCAGAATTCTACATGGCACCTACAATACTCCTATGCCCTGTTTATGGCCATGAGTCACATGCTGTGTATAGGATACGGGGCGCACGCCCCAGAAGGCTTGACTGACGTTTGGCTCACCATGATCAGCATGGTGGTGGGGGCCACCTGCTACGCCATGTTCCTGGGTCATGCAACTACCCTGGTCCAGTCATTGGATGCATCACATCGCCAATACCAAGAGAAGGTAATCACTTCTGCTCTGAAAGGATATGATTAGCTAAACACATTTTGATTTGTGCACAATATGTCCCAGGAGCTTCAGATAGAGGATAATGTGATCATGACTTTGAGGTTTAATTTCACAGTCATGTTTTGTATTATAAGGTTGCTGTCTTGCTTGTATTTGATTCATGGAAACTCTCCAGTAGTGCCTAGAGAATATGTGTATTATCTAATGAATTGTGTGGCTTCCCTGTGATCCTTTACTGGGGATTTTCACAGGATAAAGCTTCACAGATGAGGGACGAACCATTGTTGTGGATAACTGTCGCTAATACCCATTACAAATGAGTTTATAATCCACTTCAAATTGGTAAAAAACTGCAAAATGAATAGAATGGAGGCATAACGATTATCCTAATTCCAAAAACACATGGTACAAAATGTGACGAAATGTGACATCTGACATCAGCTCTGTTGAATTTCAATTGTCCCGTGATGAAGGTCAAACCTCTGTGTGTTTGTGCAAATGTTTCCAGTATAAGCAGGTGGAGCAGTACATGTCCTTCCATAAACTGCCCGCGGACGTAAGACAGAGGATCCATGATTATTACGAGCAGCGATTCCAAGGCAAGATGTTCGATGAGAACAGTATCTTTGGAGAGCTCAGTGATCCGCTGAAGGAGGTGTGTGCTTCATGAATACTTTAAGTAGATTTCCGGTTTCTTGCCATCTTTCTATTCCTATTTCCTTCCTAAATGTCTCAGTACCACTTATCTCAATGTCTTCTCTTTCTCTCCACCATGCAGGAGATTGTCAGCTATAACTGCCGCGGGCTTGTAGCCAACATGCCACTGTTCGCCAACACTGACCCTCATTTTGTGACAGTGATCCTGACCAAGCTGCGTTTCGAAGTCTTCCAACCTGCAGACTTGATCATAAGAGAAGGAACGCTGGGTCGTAAAATGTACTTCATCCAGCACGGCAGCGTCACTGTCATACCACGTGGCAGTAGGGAGATTACGCTCAACGATGGAGCATATTTTGGAGGTAAATCATTTATAAATCTGTTCCCAAAGCTGTGCCAATCAATAGGAGGCTCTTTGAATGTGGTACCGTGTTGCTGCTCTCCGTTGTTAACGGGACAAACTACAGGTAAATAGGGTAAATCATTCAACTAATACAGTATATATCACTATGAAACCTGCCCAACTTCTACCTTTTAACAATATAAGTAATTATGTAAGAACTAAGACATACATTGATTTAGAGCTGAAAGAATTAGTAGATTAATTGATTGATTTATACACAGAAAAATAATAACTTTTTTGATGAACCATTAGTCATTCAAGCTATTTTTGAGCAGTGAAGAATCCGGTAAACAATCCAACTACACTAATTGGCTACTTTATTGTAAAATGAATATTATTCTTTTTTGAGGATAGTTAAATGAAAAGACTCTTTTCCAAACATCAAACTATGCTTTAAAGGTAAAACCTATTTCTTGTTTCAGAGATCTGCCTTCTGACCCAAGGACGACGCACAGCCACTGTGAAGGCGGAAACATACTGTCGCCTTTACTCGCTGAGTGTGGACAGTTTCAACGAAGTCCTGGAGGAGCATCCTCTGATGAGGAGGGCGTTTGAGAGCGTGGCTGTGGACCGCCTGGACCGAGTGGCTCGCAAACTCGGTGTTGAGCCACCTTCAGATGAATTACTTACTCAGTACCAAGAGAGAGAAACTCCTGCCTGAAATGTGGAGGATATTTGTCTCGCTTTGACTGAACTTGACCACGATACAAAGAAATCTTTGATGTACATTGTAACATTTGCTATTTCATTAATGCTGACTGACAGAGACTCTTGTTTTTATTTATTAACACATTAATGCTGCACTTTGATGAAACTGTTGCTCCTTCAGATGATTTCAATTTGTTTATTGGATCTTAAGTCGTTAGCTGAAATCATAATTTAAGATAAGATAAGATGTACTTTATTAATCCCAATTTGGGAATTTTTCTTTGTTGCAGCAGCATAAAATAAAAGGCATTGCACGTAATAACAAATTAAAAGAGTAGAAATAAACTATTCTAAAATATAAACATCTCAAAATAGAAATAGAAATAAAAAACAATTAATTTTTGGGGTGATTTAAATGCTTTTCCCCGAATGGCAAGCCACAACATTGACTTTGACTAATGTTAATACTGCTTTTCATTTGCCTGTATGCTTTCTAAGACTGCAGTTCCATTATACATTGCTTTATTTACACGAAAGCGGGAGCACCATCTGGGCGATATATGTAGCGCTGATTCCAGTGATCCCTCAGGTCTGTGGGATGCATCAAGTCTCGGATTAACGCTAATGTTCAAAAAGCTGCTGTTACGTAAGAACGCTAAATGTACAGAAACAAATTGTACACAGTTAGACACCAATGTTTAAATTGCCACATTTCCTGGTACACAAAGAGGTATCCAATATTATGTTATTTATACTTTTTTTTCAAATAGCACCTTAGTCTGTTTTAGGGTTGCAAAATTCCGGGAATTTTCAAAGATGGAAACTTTCCACGGGAATTAACGGGAATTTATGGGAATAAACTGGGAATTTTCTAAACTGAAGGTTGGCTCTTCATAGGGAACTTAAATATAGTTGGGGAAAGTATATTTTAGCATAATCTTCTTGACTAAAACAAACAGATGCCATTCAAGTATACTTGAATATCCATGCCATAGCACACTGCTTACTGCATGGCTATTGAGACCACACCCCCTACAGGCACTGTGCATTCCTCCATCACATGCACAGATGAGTAATATTTAACTCAACATTCCTGTTTTCGTTCTTCAATGAAACAAATAATTGTTCAATAAAATAATTAAAACTTGTTCTGTTCTACTTTCAAATAAAAGAAAATCTGTTGAAATGTCATGTTTTTTGTTTAATTTTGCATCGAATATTTCCAAAATTCCCCAGCTTAACTTCCCATGTTACATTTCAGCTCATTTTATTTATTGTAAATTAAAAAAAAAAATTATTTGAGATCCATTTTAGCAGACACAAAAAACATATCAAATGTATGTGTGCTATAGCTACTGCATCGAGTCATGGGGTGTTAAGCCTATGTTATCAATGTGACAGTGACCATTTCATTATCACACCATAGTGTTCTTTTTAAACCACAATTCCCAGCCTATCTTTCTCCTGATGAATGATCCTCATACCGATGATGTCATGTAAATATAAATATTTCTAACCTTCAAACAAATAATAAGCAACAATTTTTCGCCTATGCAAATAATTTCAAATATGATTATGCAAATGAGTGCACACACATACACCCACCCCTGATGAAAGACATACTCAGATATTTTACTCAAGTAAAAGTATTTTATTCATGTAAAAATATCTCTTCATCATACAAGTAAAATTATACTTAAATACTTAAATTACAGAAGCTCCCATTAGAGTTATATTATAATTAGAATGCCTCGTTTCAGATTGCTTTATGTTTAGCAACATTTTAAACTTCTAATATATTTTGGGTAATTTCAAGTATTCTGCAAAGTAATATGTGAGTATACATTTCAAATTGAGTTACAAAATGTATTATATCTATTTCCCTTTGTAGTAGAGAGGAGGCATACATTATAAAAACATAAACATACTTAGAAGTGTCTTGATAGCCTCTTTGCATAGTCAAATTAGAAAATAGTTACATTACATGTTACTTGTTAGATGCTTTTATCCAAAGCGACTTACATACTCAATACTGTGGACAATCCCCACAGGAGCAATTTGGGGTGAAGTGTCTTGCCCAGGGACACAACGACTTGCTGACTGCAGTGGGGTTTTCCCCTGATCCGAACACCAACGCACTAGTCCACTGCGCCCTAGTTCTTGCCCTCAAAATATACACAGATGGTTCTAAGAACAACGAAGAGTGTGTTGGAGTTGGTATATATATCCCAGACTTTAAAATATCGATCTCAAAAAGAGCGTCAGATCAACTATCAGTGTACACAGCAGAAATGCTGGCAGTAATAATAGGATTACAGTGGGTTGAAGAGGTCAGACCATATAGGGTGGTGATATGCACAGATTAATTATCCATATTAAAAAGCATATAGTCAACAACAACTGTCAGAGAATATACTCACAGAAGTTAACCATAGCTTGTTAAGACTTCACAGAGGTGGTATAGATCCTCTGTTCTGCTGGGTGCCTGCACATGAGGGGGTAAAAGGGAACGAGTGTGCTGATAAGTTAGGAAAAAGTGAATTGCAAAAGGAAATAACATTACCAGTTAAACTTGGAAAAGGAGAAGGAAAAGCAGTAATTAAGAAAAAAGGGATGGAGATCTGGCAGAAAAGGTGGGAGAAAGAAAGGCAAAGAGTATCATAAAGTACAAAAGACAATCATAATTAATATTTATAAAGAAAGAAACAGAAGGGAGGAAATCATGATAGCTAGACTCAGACTGAATCACACAGCATTGAATAGTACGCTGTATGTCATGGGGAAAAGTAACAGTGACAAGTGTAGGAACTGTGGAGTTAAAGAAACCTAATCGTATTACGTTGTGACATCTATAAAGCTGAAAGAGAAAAACTAATGGATAAAGTTATAGAGGCAGAGAGGGAGTTGAATATGTTTGGTATTCTGGGAACAGAAGGAGAGGGAGTTAAGAGCTACCAGAAAGGCACTGTTTACCTTTCTGAGTGAAACTGAGGAAGGTAAAATAATCTAACATTAGGTTAGAATAGATCATGGATTTTTGTTTTGTTTTGTTTTATTTATTTTTATTTAACATTATTTTTTGTTAGATCATGGATATATACGTCCATGAGTTGAGAGATGGAATGACATGATACACCATAGGCTGTGATACACACTCATGTACAGTAGGTGACGGTATGCAACTAAAAGCTGTTTGCGATCCGCAATTAAAAGAGAGAAGAAGAAGAGTGGTTTTGATGACAGCTTCCGGTTCTATTTAGAGAAGAAATTCTCAAAGAACTGAATCATAGCCTGTTAAGACTGCACAGAAGCGGCATAGATCTGCAGTTCTGCTGGGTGCCTGCACATGAGGGGGTGAAAGGGAACGAGTTTGCTGATAAATTAGCAAAAAGTGCACTACAAAAGCAAATAACATTACCAGTTCAACTTGGTAAAGGAGAAGGAAAAGCAGTCATTAAGAAAAAAGGGATGGAGATCTGGCAGAAAAGGTGGGAGAAAGACCAGAAAGGCAAGGACTATCACAAAGTACAAAATACAATTACAATTAATATTCATAAAGAAAGAAACAGAAGGGAGGAAATCATGATGGCTAGACTCAGAATAAATCACACAGCTTTGAATAGTACGCTGTATATCATGGGGAAAAGTGACAGTAACAAGTGTGGGAACTGTGCAGTAAAAGAAGATGTAGAACATATATTGTTACATTGTGACATCTATAAAGCGGAACGAGAACAATTAAAGGCTAAAGTCTTAGAGGCAGAGAGGGAGTGGAGTGTGGTTGGTGTTTTGAGAACAAAAGGAGAGGGAGTAAGAGCTACCGGAAAGGCACTGTTTAAATTCTTGAGTGAAACTGGGGTAGGAAAAAGAATGTAACATTAGGTCAGGAAAGAACATAGATTTGTTTTTTCTTTTATTTATTTAATGGTTATATTGATTGATTTATTTTTATTTTTATTTTTAATTAGAACATAGCAGCGCCGGAACATAGGTTTAAGAGTTGGAATGATGTGATGATTCATACTCATGCACAGTAGGTGGCGGTATGCACCTTTTAAGTTGTTTGCAATCCGCCAAAAGCAAGAGAAGAAGAAGAAGTATATCCATTGATTTCCGGTAGTGTTTCATAAACTCGGGACGTAGAGAAGGTAAGAAGCAGCGATTATTTGCAAATTTAGACCAAAACCTTTCATCATTAAATATATTTGAATGCAGCTTTTATTACAGCTCTTATCACCAAATTATTTCACATGGTGTCAATGTGATATCTGAGTGCTATGTCCTAGATATGCTGTTTTTGTTCTGACATTACAAGGTTAACCGCAAGCTAACTTAGCTTAGCGCCAGGCTGACAGCAGTAGGTATTCAGCATGGGAGTAAGTGTGGGCTTTAAAAAGACACTTAAACGAAGCAAAAAGTTCAGATGTTCTCGTAATTAGTCAGTGTGTTTATCTGAAATATTACAATTGACAGCGATATGATTGATAACATTACTGGCACTCGCTTTCACCTTTCTTAGCTAACATTCCTCTGACATAACAACATCTCATAACAAGTTTCATAAGGTCTCTATCCAAGCTTTTAGTTCAATTCAAGCATCTATTGGTGGGCGCCATTAAAATACATGTTGATCTATTGTTAGTTGGTTTTATCGTGATGAAACAAAAATGCTGCTTAATTAGAAATTGCGCTCACTCGATGGCTCTTGTTTTGATGCTGTTTAATAGGTTGTAGCAGTTATGACAAAAGGTTGTTATAACATCAATTCAAACTCATTACTTTGGTATTTAAATTAATTTATATTGTTGGAAGTTGAGTTGTTTTTGGGCTCTTCTCGTATATATAAAAGTAATCTGTACACCTCTCAGAAAACCTAAAGAGTGTTAGCTGAAAGTGCCACCTTAGTTTTCCAGCATACCAGTGGATTCGTCAACCAGAGCACCAACAAAGCAGTTCAATATGTGCAATTCTATAACTTAACCCCATACTATAGTTTTGATACCACCAGTGAATAACTTCTATATTTTAACCATACTTAATATGAGAATTAAAAACGTTTTTTGAACTACAGCCTTTTTCATTAAATAATAACGTATTTCACTTTAAACTTTTTGTCAGAAGTAACCTAAAACTTATATTTGATTAGTCATCTCATTGTCTTTCCCTTATGCAGGAAGTATGCTGGCCCTGTCCCGTGCAGTGATGTGTGGGGTGACCCGCGCCCCAGCTGCCGTCAGTCAAGGTGGAGTGACCTCTATCACTCGATACAACAGCACGGCACAGGTAGCTGTACTGCTCTTAATAAAAACGGAAATAATAATAATACAGTTGAATATAAACATTAATAATGTGTTGTCTTATTTTTTCAGACTGCTCCTAAGAAAACAACATATGGACCTCTGGCTGATCAGGACAGAATTTTTACTAACCTTTATGGTCGCCATGACTGGAGGTAACATCCCTCACCTTATTCCTTTGTGCTCTATAAAATCTTACACAATATAAAATGATGTGCTAATCAATAAAAGTCAAAGAAGAATTTCAGTTATGCCTTTTTTACGTGAAAAGAACATATTAGAAATGTCTTTTAAAAAAACGAACACAATCCTCACATATGTTTGTGTTTCAGGTTGAAGGGGGCATTGAAGCGCGGTGACTGGTACAAAACTAAGGAGATCCTTCTGAAGGGAGTGGACTGGATCCTCAATGAGGTCAAGGTTTCTGGCCTGCGTGGAAGAGGCGGTGCTGGTTTCCCTACCGGCATGAAGTGGGGCTTCATGAACAAGCCCAGCGATGGAAGGTCAGAAAGGAGACAGACAGATACTTCTTTTGCATTTAACTGACAATTACTATCACAGTCAATCTAATTGATTATTCATCAAAACATTTACCAGCTCTTGCAACTAGCAAAATGAAGATTGATTTTATTCTTTTAGCATCTCTATATATCAGTTAGCTTGATATTTGAATCAACAAGGCAGCATGTTTATTATTCATCAATTCCCTCCTACTAGCCATTTAGAAAAATATCAGATTTTGCAGTTTCTAAATGAATTTACTCATCAATAACTCACTTTGTCTTTTCCAATCAAATTGAAGTTTTCTCTTCTCTATTTAACCCAGTTCTGGTTTCTTGCTTTAGGCCAAAGTATCTGGTGGTGAACGCAGATGAGGGAGAACCTGGCACCTGTAAGGACAGGGAGATCATGCGTCATGACCCACACAAGCTGGTGGAGGGCTGCCTGGTGGCTGGTAGGGCCATGGGGGCGCGTGCTGCTTATATTTATATCAGAGGAGAGTTCTACAACGAGTCGTCCAACCTGCAGGTAGACATGGACTGAATGAAACTTGATGTATAAACCTTAAATGCAGTGTACAAATATATATTTTGATTGATCCAAAACAGTTGAGGTGTGGTTGTACATGACTTCTTAAAAATTCCATCCTTTTTAACTCTTCTGTTTTCAATTGTGTGCTCTTAGGTGGCAGTTAATGAGGCCTATGCAGCTGGGTTCATTGGAAAGAACGCCTGTGAATCCGGTTATGACTTTGATGTGTTTGTGATGCGTGGTGCTGGAGCATACATCTGTGGAGAGGAGACCGCTCTCATTGAGTCTATTGAGGGGAAGCAGGGAAAGCCCCGCCTGAAGCCCCCGTTTCCTGCTGATGTTGGTGAGTTCATGGTCAAAGAGAGGTTTGAAAGGTGTTGCATAAAATATCGAAAACGTGGGGAAAAAATGGCCCGTACAGACAGAAGTTCCTGAATCGTGTCCTCTATTTAATGAGACATGTGGCTTGCTGACTTTGTATGACTCGTCTTCACCCACGCCAGCCCAAAAATAAACATACATACATATACATTGCTGGCACTGTAAAGTCTAATTGATCCCCAACCCATTCAAATAAAAGCTATTTTCCTGTCATGTCATTTGACATCCTTGTTATAATTACATTTAAATATAATTGTATATAATGTAAATATTTTTAAGGTGCCTTAACAAGTAAGAAGTAAGAAATTCCAGTTTGTGACAAACTAATCTAATCACAGAAAACTACTAAATTCTTGTTTTTGCCAAATGAACGCCTGGCATGTGAAACATCTCCTTTCTCTTAAAGGTGTGTTCGGTTGCCCAACGACTGTTGCCAATGTGGAGACAGTTTCCGTGGCGCCCACTATCTGTCGTCGTGGAGGCTCATGGTTTCTTGGCTTTGGCAGAGAGAGAAACTCTGGCACAAAGCTCTTCAACATCTCTGGCCACGTTAACACCCCCTGCACCGTAGAGGAGGAGATGTCTATCCCCCTGAAAGAACTCATCGAGAGGCACGCAGGTACATGTTCAAGGTTCTTTATTTTTTCATACGAACATAGCTACAGTGTAGTTATGCCGATGAAAATCTTAGGTCACAGGCTTCTCCAACAGTGCAACACAATAACACAGATAAACAGAAAAATATAGTGCAAGTAAATAGTAAATACAAAAAGAAAAATAGTTTAAAAAAGTGCAATAAGAGTCTATATGCAAGTTATTGGAATGATATATTAGATAAATAATTACTAAGTAGCAGATGAATGTTATGGATGTTGTTACAACAGTTCAGGTGTTTAGCAGTCTTATTGCCTGTGGGATGAAACTGTCTCTGAATCGGGGGTTTTAGTCCGGATGCTGTGGTACCGCCTGCCAGACGGCTGGCTTGGGTGATGGGGGTCTTTTATAATCCTGAGGGCTTCCCTCCTGACCCGCTGGGAGTAAAGGTCCTCCATGGATGGCAGCTCAGTCCTGGTGATGTTCTGTGCAGTTTTCACCACCCTCTGTAAAGCCTTACGATTGAGGGCAATGCAGCTGCCGTACCAGGCCGTGATGCAGCCAGTCAGGATCCTCTCTATGGTGCACCTGTAGAAGTTCAGGATGCTCTCTATGGTGCACCTGTAGAAGTTCAGGATGCTCTCTATGGTGCACCTGTAGAAGGTCAGGATGCTCTCTATGGAGCACCTGTAGGTCAGGATGCTCTCTATGGAGCACCTGTAGGTCAGGATGCTCTCTATGGAGCACCTGAAGGTCAGGATGCTCTCTATGGAGCACCTGAAGGTCCATGTCAGGTCCTCAGTGATGAGTCCATGTCAGGTCCTCGGTGATGAGTCCATGTCAGGTCCTCAGTGATGAGTCCATGTCAGGTCCTCAGTGAAGAGTCCATGTCAGGTCCTCAGTGATGAGTCCATGTCAGGTCCTCAGTGATGTGGACCCCGAGGAACCTGAAGCTGCTAACTCTCTCCACCCTAGTCCCATTGATGGTGATGGGGGCGTGTCCCTCTCTCTGCTGCTTCCTGTAATCCACAATCAGCTCCTTGGTTTTGACGTTGAGATGNTCGAGTTTCTCAGGACCTTCGACTCAGAGGTTAAGACTTAAAATGTTTGGTTTGTCCGTCAAAAGACTCGCAGCCGCATTCCAGATCATAAGAAACAGGATGTGTCGTCCATCTTTTTACAGGTATGTTACAACAAGGGGAGTTGTTAGAGCCAGTATTTTGTTTTGATAAGAAAGGCTACCTAATCGTGACGTCTGTAGTGAACACTGAATAAAAGACTACAATTCCCACAGCGCCTCCTTTAAAAGAGACGGGTAACCTGTCAGAAAGACGCCGTTAAAAAACAGTTTTTAACCGTTCCACTACCGTTTAAGTTACCATTAAAGTTATACACGCCTTAAAGGGGACCTATCATTCAAAAGTCACTTTTTTATGTCTGTTATACATAAAGATGTGTCCCCGGTGTGTCGGGGAACTCACGCAGCGTCAGAAAATAAAACCTTCTCTCTTTAACTCCGTACCCAAATCTCTAAAAACGGGGCTACAACTGAGCTGATCCAGATTTGCGTCCGATATGACGTAATATCTGAAATGTGGACCCACGGCCCTATCAGAAACGTTGCAATCCAGACTGTTTTGGACGTAATATGGTCGGTGTTTACATTAGCATCGCTAACACTCAGAGCTAACCTGTACTGGAGAGCATGTGTGTGAAGAAGCAGGAAGTAAAAAGGAACTCACCTTGTGGTATAACCGGCAAGAGAGAAAGCCTTTGAGCTCCATACTGTTTCAGAAATAATCCTTGATGATCCATGATATGGCGTTTCATCACGGCAGTATTTAGTTTAGGCAGTAGCTGCCGGATCAATTCATTGTTAGGTTTAGTCATTTAACCCTCTGAGACCCTTTTTAAAGAGACCCCTATTCTGCTTTTTAGGGGTTTGCCTTTCCTGTATTGTGTTATACAGGTTTAAGTGCATGTAAATGGCTTAAAAATGCAAATATGAACCTTCAGAATATGTCCGAAATACAAAAGTATTTGCATCAAAATAAACAATATCAGAGGGGATTATGTTCACTTCGTTAAAGCACTATGAAATTGGATTAATTGTGCTTATGATTAGGTGATCAAATACTCAAGGCGAAAGCTTATACGATGTTAGTTGCTTATGTAACAAGACTCAAGGCGAAGGACAAGAGAACATGGAGGCAATATATTCATGAAAATGCTGAATCAGAGCATAACAATTAAGTGTATTCAGTGAAGTTTCAAAGACGTTTAAAGTAGGTTAAAGTTTTTGAAGTTCCAGCTCTTTTTTTCTTGCTCTTCTCAGAGTTTTCTGAGGTGAAGCTTTTGTCGGCACCTTTGACGGCATGACTGCTTCTTATTAAAAAGGGAAACTCTGCAGATTTGATACAGAAGGATCAGTTTCCTCGCTGCAGAGAGACTTCAGCTGTCCTATAATGTCTTCTGGGGCTCAGCGGGATCTGAGGAAACCTGCAAAATGTCATTGGGTTTATCCCGGCTTGGCCTTGAAAACTGTTTTTTAAATACCAGCCAAGGGGAGCATTATGGGAAGTGTAGGATCAAGGCTTTTCAAATGCATGGTATTTTACCTCTTTTTGTCTTATTCAAGTCCAGTAAAGTTGACTTTTCACACTTCAATTAATGAAAAAACTAAACAGACTAACTCTTCTTGTCCATGAGAGCAGAGAAAACAATACATACTGTTGAAGCAGACTATAAACTGTGTATGTAGTGTCTCTACTGGGACATGTCTCCATGCTTTAATGTTCAAAAAGCTCTTTCTTTTTCTCATACTGCCATCACCCTCTGTCTGAAACCAGAGCCCAGTCGGCTCTGATTGGTTAGCTGGCCGGCTCTGTTTTGATTGGTCAACCAGCTTAGAGATGTCCCGCCCCTTAGCCTATCACGTACAATGTGTTGGAGCGCTAGCCAATAGGAGCGTGAGTGT